CACCAAATACACAACATAATGTTCTTTTTAGCAACGTCATATGACCCCTTTAATTTTAAGTTTAGCCACAAGGGATGCATGATATATCTATGATCATATCGGTTTTTGCTATTTCTTTTTAAATAGTTTTTGTTTTTTGTTTTGTTTGTTTGTTTTGTGTTGTTTTGGCATCGGCATCTGATTAGGCTTGAATTAGAAGATAATATCAGTAACATTTATCTGTGCGAGATTTCCAAACTATTTAACAGTTATATTTTTCTACAGTATATTATGATATTTTGATGCCTACATTTTATACTCTATACATTTTATACTCTATACTCTATACTGATGTAATAAAAGAAAAGAAAAAGACATCAGAAGGCAGTGCAAGTTAATAGAGGTTTTTACAATGATCTCAGTCTCATACACACAAATAAAGCCTAAAATTGCCAATTGCCATCATATTGGTTGGCTCACATGCATTTTTTTTTTACATTTTAATACAAAGACAAACTGTTTTTTTTTTTGAATAACATGCACTGATAAAATGCGCAAAAGAACAGGAATGTGCATTCTGAATTTTAACTAACAACCTAAATAAAATATATGTACCTAAATAAAAAAATATATAAAATATATATTCCTGAATCTTTGTTTAGAATGTTGCATATACAATACCATTCAACAGTTTGAGGTCAGCACATTTTTTTATATTTTTATTCACCAACTATGCATTAAATTGCTCAAAAATCACTTTTACATTGTTACAAAAGATTTACATTTCACATAAATGCTGTTCTTTTGAACCTTCTATTCATCAAAGAATCCTAAAAATGTTTATCTTGGTTTTTACAAAAATATTAAATATTTATTAAAATATTAAGAAAAATAAAATAATAAATGTCCACAAAGCTGTGATTGGTATCTCTTGCAAACATGTTCATTTATTTAATCTGTAGAGACACTCTTGTGTTTTGATTGATTGATGGATGGCTTGACAGGTGGATGTACTGACTGAATGATGGATGGATAGAATATATATGGGATATTTATTAGTTAGATAAACATTCTGTACAGATAGGGCTGTCGTATGTGGATGTATAGGTAGCAGTGCAGCAGAGACGCTTTGAAAGGTCAGTGGGTCCGTTGGGACTGCGGATGTCGGCATTGATTGCTGATTGGCTGATGGATGAGAGCTACTGCAAGTATCCAGGCACTCAGGAGTGTTGCTTGGTAACAGCAGTTTCACATATTGTGCAAGTGGCCTTGAAAGTGATTGACATCGTAAGTGCTCTAAAAAAAAAAGGCAACCCACCTCCTCCTGTCTTCACCTGACTCTTTCTTTATTTTTTTATTTTTCTCTCTAGCACTATTTATTTACATTCAACCACTAAGCCTTTTGATGTAATCTTGATTCCATCACTTTTATACTCTCATAGCAAAGCACCTTTAACCTTTAGCATAGGAACTAGATTTTTTTTTTTAAAGTTCAGATAGAATCGTGTTACGTTTCATAAAGTTACTCACCAGATTGTCATTAAAGCTCTTTCCTATTATTATTGCACTGTGATTTAGTATAATACAATTTTATTTTATTTTTATGCCAGCTTTTTTGGTTTGGTTAGGCAATTGGTAACCCTAGCAAAATATTCATTGTGTTTTCTAACCTGTAGGGATGCTTTTGTGTTTAGATTGATAGAATTCATGGGTGGATGTACAGATTAATGGATGAACAAAAATGACATCAGACTTTCTGCTGATTTACCTTTTTCTGTTAATGTTCAAGTGTATCAATGTTAAAATATTTTCTCCTATCCCAGTTGAAGATAGAGAGACAGCTATAAGCTATTCATAGACTGATTGAAATGTTAAACACGATTAATTATTCATATTTCCCTTATGAGCTGATTCGCTACAACCATTATAGTAGTATTTTTTGTTGTTGATTTTATAACACTCAGAACATTTTGTCCATAGGCTTTGAATTTTGAGGAACGAGGACTACACATCTTGAAGCAGCCTGTAATTATATATTTTGAGTAGCATTGTGCTGTTTGTCATTGTGAACTATGGTTTGTGCTCTGTGTGTGTTTATGTGCTTTATGGTCTTTTTTATGGGTGTTTTGGTCTCTTAAGGGTATCAGTTATGAAGGCAGTGTGTGCTGATACAGAGGCCCAGGATCTGCTTTCTGAATTACGGTCTGGATGGATGACTCACCTCACTGCAGGCTTTAGACTGTAAACTGAGCTTTAGGGGTCTGCTATAAACTATGTTTATACTTTCTTAGAAGGAACTTCTGGGTGAAATAGAGGTCACAGCCACTGCTCAACGTTTTAGCAGGAATAGATGTCTTGTTCTGTGATATTTTGTACTTGGCGGATATACTAGAGTTATTATTAGTATTAAAGGTATAGTTCACCCAGAAAAAAATTGTCATCATTTACTCACTCTAAACCTGTATGAGTTTCTTTCTTCTGTTGAGAACAAAAGACGATATTTTGAAGAATGTTGGTAGCAAAATATCTTGGTTCCCATTAACTTCCTTTGTATATTTTTTCCCATAAAATGGAAGTCAATGGAACCCGAACCTGCTTGGTTACCAACATTCTTAAAAATGTCATCTTCAAAGTTTCTTACAAGTTGTTGTTTAAGAACAAGGTTATATATATAATACCTGGAAAACACTACCCACTAGCATTCCCCTTCATTTCATTTGGCAGACAATAAATGTATGAGATTTGAAATATGTCATCTTTGCCTTTCATCATCATCAGTTGGTCAGTAGACTTTAAATAGTCGGCCATTTTCACAGTCACGATTCCTAAACAAAAAATACACTATAAAAGCTGTCTTTTTATTTGTTTTGGCTGTCTTTCATTTTCTTGAAATCACCACTGTTATCGTACAACCACACCTCGAAGAGTTTTGTTTTGCGTGTACCTTAAGTAATCTGGTGGTCTCCGCCCCTTTCTCCACCTCCCTCGCCAAGGACTGATCACATCCCTGCTGAACTCTTGCCTCTGTTGCCATGCCGACAGTCCTTTCTGGGAGAAACCGTTCACTCTCCGCGTGATGGCTTGATAAGTGCTGTAATTATGCAAATTCCAGCCAAAGCAAAGAGCTTTTGTAAAATAGCCATCACTGTCACTCTCTAGCTTTCAATTGCTAAACGTGAAAACTATTTGTGGTGTTGTAATGCTGATTGGACTCGAAATCATTCTTGTAAAATGTAACTAATGTGAACAAATTTGAACAAACCCCTAATCGTCAATATTAAACTTTGGTGCACAACTCTATTCACACCATTTGTGCTCCAGACATGAATGACCTCAAATCAACTTGACACCTGTAGC